CAAGTGAGATCAAGCTTTATAACTTCCTGACAAGCGACCTGGGATCACCTCTACCCCTTCACATCAGTCTGTCTCGGCCGCTATCCCTTACCACAGGGAACAAGGATGAGTTCTTGGACAAGATCACAGAAACCATCGATAACAGTGGCATCGCTCCCTTTGTTGTTCGACCACAAGGGCTCGCGTGGTACAGATCACCAGATTCTGATCGCACGTTTCTCATCCTTCGTGTCGCCAGTGGTCCCAAGTCTCCTCCCGATAGCAAGGATGGAGTCAAACCGTTGAACCCAGAGCTCGCTTCATTGTTGACAAAGAGTAACACGGTTGCAACACATTACGGACAACCCCCGTTATACCAAGGGAAAGCCAATGAGCCAGTGGGAGATGCATTCCATATATCCATTGGCTGGACCTTTCACCTACCAGCGGATGAGATGTCACTCAAGACACTGCGATTGTTCAGACAACCCAAGTTTGATGACATCCGGAAATGGGAGATTAGCGTTGCTGGCATCAAGGTCAAGATTGGAAATGCCGTGCATCACATTGCACTGCGGGAGACTGGCCGGAGCGGAGGATCTTTGAAGCGACCTTCTTTTCTCAAGCCATGACATAGCTGGTTCCATGTCATCATCGATTGCAGTTTACAAAAGTCATACGTTATTTATATCGAGAGAACCAACAGAAACCGAAGTCAGAGCAGACGGAGTCATGGGTACAAAAGTATGCCGGATTGCTCGCCCCGGTGAAACGGGCGTATTGTCTCGGGATCACTTGGACTCGGTTATCATTCTAAAAGATTGGGGTCATGAAGTTTCGGGTTGCTCCAGGCTACCGAGGATCAATTGGATACATGGTGTTCTACAGGCAATCGAGAAAAAGCAAGATGCGAATCGGGTGTCTGCGGATTCTAAGCAAGCGACGCAAAACAAGACCGGATGCCCGGATAAGTCGCAGCACAACGTGACATGGTGCATATTGACATGACGTGACATTCGGCTCTTGAAAAGACAAGCAAGGGAGGGTCTCAAGCTGAGAAGAGGATACACCAGCTGGGCATGACGGAATGCGAGATGAGGCCATTGCTACAACATGATATGAGTGCTAGCTTCGACACTGGACAGAAGAGGACTTGAGGGATGAGAATGAGACTGTGTTGGAGCCAAGTGTGGGAGTTTCATGACTTTTCAGCTTGTTAGGGAGAAGGGAAAATGTCAGTTGAAACTATTTCACTATCATCTTGGCTATCTGCATTAGTGTCTTGGAGACTGCACCATTGATTGAGTTTGAATAGCTTCACAAGATACATTGGTTATTAGAAGCAGGTAACGCACGGACCCCATTTCATATTTCATGTGATTGAGGCTGGGCAACGGCAATGGGAAAGTCCCGGAAATGCACGCACGCACTCGTGGGCTTGTATTATTCACGGCCCCCAACTTCAACGGTCGTAGCTAGGTCCCCTGGATAGAGCATCCTTGTCAGTGAGATTGAGTAATAAACGATGTCGATCATTTGAATTGGAGGGGTATGTAAAAAGAGGACGAGGTCTCATGTAAACAAAAACCATGACTGGTTGATCAACATCTCCAAACTACACTGCTTAAGGGAAGCAACATGAGAGACATGGTGGAGGCTAAGGTATGCTTGGGCTAGGCGAAACAGCATGATTAGACAGGAGCCACTGATTGCCTGAATAGGCATCATGCTTGAAGTTGAGGCCTATTTTGAGGGTTCGTTATTCGTGAAGGGAAGCAAAAAGAGGGGGATTTATTTGGTGTTGCTTGGGGGAGGTAATAAATGGTTTGTTTACTTTGTTCAAGCCACACAAAGCCAATGCACCCCTCTTCACCACTCACTGACCACTGGATGCCACTGAAGCGTAGGTTACCACCAAATCAAATCAAAGCAAGGTTCCTTCCGTGAACGCACGCCGTTGGTGCTATCCCATCCCATCCATTAGGTTGCCTTGCCTTCTATTTCAGGTTCACCCTCTCAACACCATCACCAAAATCTTTCCTTATTTCCTCTCCTCCTCACCTTTTTTTTTCCTTCCCATCTACACCATCTTCCTCTTTCACTTCTACCCGCAAGGATTTACTGATCCTCTTCCATCTCGATTGACTCTTTTCGTCACAAGAGGCAATTCTGATTTTCTTCCACGGCTCTTTTTATTTCCACCTTGACCAAAACTTTTTCGTGCTTCTGAAGCGCGGCTTCGTTCTGTTTCCCCCCCAAACTGGGTTTCTACAAAAGGACCCTCCCCCCGTCTCCATCCAAGTTTCTACCCCGGAAGATCTTTGACCGCCTCCGAGAAGCCCAGCCTCGCGCTGCAAGATTCTACCTTCCCGCCGATCTCGCGTGACATCCGTTCTCAAAACATTTCGCAGAGATTCAGATTCACTCGGTCTCGTTCAAGGTTCAACAAACACAATCGACACAGCATTCACGTCGCAAAGCATTGGGGAAATTCGCGGATATCTGTTTTTTGACCCGCACTGCACCAATCGATCGGCCAAAGCTCTTGTGCCCCTCCCCGCACCCTCGAGCTCTCTCTCCCTCCCCCCCCTCATCAAGCAACAAAACAACCGCCAAAATGCCTTTCGACATCGATACCGCTCGCCGAAACAAGACGCCCCGACCTCTGTCAGACTCGGAGCGCGCCCGCGTGGAAGAGTTCATCGACTCGATCCACTACTCTGCACGATACTCGGACAGCGAATATGAATACCGTCATGTTCAGCTCCCCAAAGCCATGCTCAAGGCTATTCCCAAAGACTACCACGATACCTCCAAGGGTACTCTCAAGCTCTTGTGGGAGGAGGAATGGCGAGCTCTTGGCATTACTCAGGTACGACTTCACGGCCTTGCCAACACGTGCCTCCATCGTTGGTGGGGGTGACGAGATTACCAGCAATCAAGACTAACAACCGTGAAGAGTCTAGGATGGGAACACTACGAGGTCCATGAGCCAGAACCGCACATCCTCCTGTTCAAGTATGTTTTCATGGCAATCCCAATGCTGGGACTTACCTTGGATGCCTCCGGATGGCTAACGTGAACTTAGGCGACCGCTCAACTTCCAACCTCCCCAGTAACCGGCTAGACGCACGACTCAGATTTCCCCCAATGTACCATACATATTTACTGCACAGCACCCTTTTGTCGGTGCCATACTCAAGCTCAGACGGAGGTTTCCACGTCGGCTCACGATTTTACGGTTTGCACGTTCACGTTGAGATATAAAGAGAGAGAAGCAAAAAGAGACTTATTGGTTCATCAAGTTCGCAACGTCCTCGTTCATCCAGTCGGTAGCAGGCCTCGGGCTTGTTATACCTATGCTATGATATGCGATACCCTGTCGAGATGTAAAGGGAGACGACATACCAGTCTCCTGGTTCCGAAGTCTGTGTATGACACAGACACTGAGTTGTCGTCCAAGCGGCAGGGCAATGGGGGAGTTTGCATGACAGAGTGGATGGGCTACGGATGATGGGAGTTGAGAATTGGATCCGCCAAACCCTAGCGACCAAGACGTGGGGGAACGTTTTAATACGGAGTTGGATCTGGGAACGATCCGGAAACGCGTCGCGCGTGGGTGTTTGGGCTTGGTTGGGTCGACAAGTGGTTTGCTGGTTGTTGTTTCTAAACGTGTTTTATTTGTTGAATGTCTCTGATTTGGGGCTACACTTTTTTTTGGAGGAGGGGGAAGAGAGAAGAAGGATTTGCTCAGTGATACCCCTTCTACAAGCGCATGATGGGACAAAAAAATGGGCTTTGTGATGGAGGCTGGGTGCAGAAGTACACGGAGACGGACGATACAGCATCGCATAATAATAGGTAAACAAAACGATGGGTTTACTGTACCTATGAAGGTCTGTGGATGACGGCCTCTAAGTCGAGTTGTGGCGTTTCGGTCGATGATCCGTGAATCATGGCTAGTTTTCCAGAGCCATGGATGTAAATGCGCCACAATTGTGAAACAGCGAGTGGGAAAAACAAAGGGAGGGAGGATGTCATATGAGGGTCTTGGTTGGATGGGGAATGTTGTGACTCCGGAGTTATGGCTCCTTATTTAGATACTGTATATTCAATGGAATACGATAATGCTCCCTGAAAGGTGAGCTGATCCAGAAGCCACCGCCCGGCAGATCGTCTGATGTTTTTGGTCCGAAAGCTGTCCTAAATCCGCTAGGATGCTTTCAAATCAGCTCAGATCGGCGACATGCTTTGTAATTGGTGGTTTTGGACAGATTTCACTTACACCGTTACACTAAGATTATGCATACAATTGAAGTCCAGGGAGAGAGTATTCTGGGTTTGTTGATGCTGCGCGACTGTTTCAACTTGTATAGATAGTGCGCCTTTGGTAGTGGCAAATGCAGAGGCATATCGTAGCTCTGTGACAGAAGCTTATTGAGTGAATAAGATGTTTGGTGAGAAGAGACAATTCGGTAGAGTTCTAGATCAATTCTACTTCGCCTCACGGAAGTCGGAGCATTTCTGCATGTAGGCTGGTCGATACCTACGTACATCAACAGCCAGCGTGTCATCTTTCAATGTGTCTGTCTGCATATGGCACACGAGCAAGTTATTTATAAATCCTCCGCCTCAAGCTACTTCTCAGTCCATGAATTAGTTCATCCTTTGTCTGAGTTTACTCGCAACGTCGCTTGTTCCATTGAATTACAGGTACCGTTCGACTCAATTGCGTCCATTCCTCTTTAGGAAAAGTGTCCATCGCTGCCCGCCGAAGCCGTCAACCCACTTTAGTCTACTTTACCTGCCGCTGGCTTACTTTCATACGTCGCTTCTTCTTTACCTACATCAAAACGACGGCTTTGAAGACGGAACATTCTCTTCTTTCTTCATATTACTTTTTTACTATCGCCTTTCACTCGTTGGCGATTGTAGTGTCGGGGATTTGTCATACTTTATCTTTCGTTACACACAATCTGACACCTACGCTCCGGCTCGTCGCTTGAGCTCCTTCAGCGACAATGAAGTCTGCGAGCAGACTATTCTATCTTTCTGTGTTTGCCCTCTGGGCTGCACCCGGTTCTTGCGAGAGCTCTAGTGATGAATGCCATGTACGTTATCGCCACTCACGCCACTGTGCAAGCCATCGTTAACACGTCTCTAGATCTCGCCCAAGTCAATCGTTGGCGATGCCTGCGCTTCGTATGCGACTCTCGATAAACTGAACTCCCTGACCAAACCCGCCGTCGACGACCTCACCCACAACACCGACTTCTTCTCGCACTACCGAGTGAACCTCTTTCACAAGAAATGTCCCTTCTGGAACGACGAAAATGGCATGTGCGGAAACATTGGATGTGCGGTCGAGACGCTGGACAACGAGGAGGATATCCCGGAGATCTGGCGTGCGCATACACTTGGTAAGCTCGAGGGTCCTCGTGCTAAGCATCCGGGGAAGAAGGCGCAGCGCCAGCATCCTCAGCGACCTCTTGGAGGTAGTCTCGGCGAGAATGTCGGCGAGAGCTGTGTCTTTGAGTATGATGATGAGTGCGACGAGCGAGATTACTGTGTTCCTGAGGACGAGAGCGCGAGCTCAAAGGGCGATTACGTGAGCTTGGTTCGAAACCCGGAGCGATTCACTGGATATGCAGGCGATGGGGCCAAGCAGGTCTGGGACGCCGTTTACAGAGAGAATTGTTTCCAGAAGAGTTCCTTCCCCAAGTCTGCCGATCTCGGCCTGTCTGGATGGAACCGCGGTCCTGCTGCTCAAGATTTCAAGCAGATCCTCGATGCAGCGGGTCGCCAAGCTCAGCTTGAGGAGCGCCGTCAGGAGAACCCCAATACCCCGTTTGTCGCAAACACAGGCTTCGAGGTCGACGATGAGTGTCTTGAGAAGCGTGTGTTCTACCGTGTCATGTCCGGTATGCACGCCAGTATCAGCACTCATCTTTGCTGGGACTTCCTGAACCAGACTACTGGCGAGTGGAGCCCTAACCTGTCCTGCTACGAACACCGTCTACACAAATTCCCTGATCGCATTGGAAACGTCTACTTCAACTATGCGCTCATGACACGTGCTATCGCCAAGGTTGGACCTTATCTCCAGAAGAAGGACTATAAGTTTTGTATGGGAGATGCTTCTGAGGATGCTGCCACTCGCGCCAAGGTCCTTGAGGTCACCGAGAAAGCTGCCAGTGTCCCTCAAATATTCGACGAGAGCCTGATGTTTGTCAATGGCGAAGGACCATCTCTGAAGGAGGACTTCCGCAACCGCTTCCGTAACGTCAGCCGTCTCATGGACTGTGTTGGCTGCGACAAGTGCCGTCTCTGGGGCAAGCTCCAAACCGCTGGCTACGGTACCGCTCTCAAGATTCTTTTCGAGCTCGATAACAACAGCGACGACGTTCCTTACCTCCAGCGCACCGAGCTAGTCGCTCTCTTCAACACCTACGCTCGCATCAGCAGCTCTCTCTACAACATTGGCCAGTTTCAGCAGATGATGGAGGAGAAGGTCTTTGCGGAGAAGGAGCAGGAGGGTCTTGAGGAACTTGCCAAGAACGAGAAGTTCAACAAGAAGTTTGAGATGGAGGCTGAGGAGAACCCCCAGATGGACGACGCTGTTAGGGAGTTTATCGAGCTGCGACAGAGGGGTCCCAAGGACGACAGCACGATGGCACACGTTGCGTTCGAGTTTGCCCAATTCAAGGCTGCTATCAAGATCATTATTAAGGGATGGATGCGCACGCCCAAGGCACTGTAAGTTTATACCTTTCTCCCGCCAAGCCGTGTACGCAAAGTCTAACAGTAGCAGGTACCGTGTTTTTACATCAGAAGTCTCGCGTCTTTACAGAGTTTGGGTCGGTCTTCCTGTCGGTCCAAGATGGTGGTCGATGCGGCTCCCTAACCTTGACGTGCCTCGGGACGAGCTATGAGATGTTACTGTGTTAGCGGTTGTTTCTTGCATATATAAAATCAGATTGCATTCATGGGCATGTTTTTAGCGGTTGCTTTGCTCTGGGCATTTCGGTTGGCGTTGATGAGGGGTTTATGGTAGCTACAAATAGCGAAGAGATTGAGTTGGTACATGGTGTGATTGACTTTGAGTGAGTGTTGTTTTGATCTGTATACGAAATGCTGGCTTTGTTCGTTGCTTTGGTGACATCCAGCCAGAGGAAGACCACGAGCGCATTCACCCTTTGCTCATGTCTTGATGCCTGCTGCTGACTTGACTTCTCAGCCTTCATGACCAATTACTTGGCGGGAGATATTGCCTGTGGCGTTGCGTTTGGCCGAGGGCTGAAGTCTATCTGGTACTTTATGCCAGGTTCATGACGGATCACTCCAGGAACGAAGCCTCTGAGCGTCAATGAGATGGGCGATGAACAGACATACCACTTCCTAAGTACCATTATTTTGCCATTATGTACGTGAATGCGAATCGCCTTGCCAGCTACAAAAGCCCAGCCATGTCCCATCCTCCAACATCAAGGTACAACTTCCACGCTCTCCCTCACCATGAAACTCGCCCACGTTCTGTCCATCCTCAGCCTCGACGCAGCGATCGCATGCAGGAGCAAACCTGAGACCTGGCCTCCCGGCTTACCTGGGGGGGATGAGAAACATTATGGTACCAGCAAATATAGAAGGCCTCCCCCAGGTTGGAAAGCGCCATCAAAGGAAGAAAAGAAAGCGAGAGAAGAGTTCATCTCACCCCATCGGATTATCACCGAAACACTTGAGGATTTCATGTTTGAGACGACAAGGCCAAAGGTTCCGTATGAGGAACGGCTTAATTTTGGGGCGTTGAGCGTGCAGGTAGCTGTGGCGAGAGCGTCAAATGGAATTCTTACGCTGGAGGGTCCTTATGTAAGATGAATGATGTGCTGGTTTGGAGATGGTTGCTGAGAGTTGTAGTCTAGGGATTCGTGTTTTGATCTACTCAATTATTTTCCCAAGGTGAGAGTGCTCGTGATTGTTTGGAGATGGGAGTGGTAGATACTAATATGGTGTTAGATTGCTGAAAAATGCGAGAAAGCAATGCAGGCCCTTGATGCCCCGACGCTCGCCTGTTCAAACGCCCTCTCTAAACAGGAAAAAGGGAGACTAGCAAAAAAGATAAAAGATCTCAGATTAATGTTCACAGTACGTATCGACTCATCCCCCCAGCTTCCTCATCGTTGACTGAACGGGGTTTTGGCAGGTATATGACCGCAACTACAGCCAGAAATGTGAGAATGCAGAAGTTGGGGCTCCCGCTTTACCACTGTCACTAGTGGAAGATGTACGATGGCATCTTGAGATGACTTCCGGGCGATATGCGGACATTGATAAGTACTGCAAGTCCAAGGGCTTGGACTCCTCTGATATTGGGGAGTGGTGAAGGGAGGGGAGGCTTCAGCTGGCGAGGGCTGGGGGATGGTTGATTAACTTTGAGGCCCCCAACCGAGGAGCAGGGATTGTGCAGCTGGGATGCAGGGGAGAGAGTGGTCAAGTTGAAGATGGGGAGAAGAGGGATTATCGTTAAGACTGGGTTGGAATGAATAATTGAGGTCAATTGAACGAGTTTACTGTCAAAGACTAAGCATAAGGTGTCTACTCATATTGAATCAATTGTATCATCATCCAATATCTCGTCAACTCATATAAGCCAAGCCCAAGACTGCTGCACGTCAATCACACAACACCCCTTAACATGAATCATAAATAACTACATCACATCACAACCTGACTCCAACTCCCCAAATAAGCAAACATACCTAATTTGTTATTTCAAGGTCCTTTTGCACAGACACTCTCCCTCTCCACATGTGAAAGCCTGAAACAGCGGTGTTGCCAACCAACACCAGCACAACCAATAACGTCACATATCCTGTAAATTGGTGTGGTTGCGCCCTACCAGGCTGGCGGTACGGATAGAGAGGAGAACCCCCTTTTACCGACAGGTCGGTTCTGCAGGCTGTACGAGGAAGGTGACAGCATACATGAACTCGGCCCCCAAATCTCTCACTCTCACGATACAGACTGTGTAATGCTGAAGCTGCTTAACATGGTCGATTCCTCCGTCTCACCGCTTCAATTCTTTTGGGGGGATTCAGATTAAATACCAGATTGTCCAAGGTTAGATGATCGTCAGCCAAGAATTGCAGTTTCAAGCCCCCTCCTCATCTGTACCCCCCTGTGAACCAACCTCGCGGGTTCGCTCGTCGCCCCGGTCGCGGATGTGATTCCGGTGCATGGGACGGGTCCCATCCTGTTGGGACCAGCACCTCGAGTCCGTCCCAGATGGTCGGGTCTGGTTCCCCTCTGTCGGTAACGGGAGGATCCTTTGGTGCTTGGCTGTTATTGGAAGGCCCTTATAACTAGTCAGCTGGTCCCCTTCCTTTGCAAACGGTTTTCCTTACTTTGTTTGTGTCGGTTAAGTTACCATGCATCATCTCTTGTCTGGTGTTGGTGGCTCTTGTGAGTCGACTGAGAGAGTCAACGGTGTGTCGAGACGGGATAGTAGTATTTCTCTGGAGGAGAGTGCTTATGAGCGGTATGTTGGCAGCTTTGTTTGTTGATGGGGACTAACCATTGAGAACAGGGACAATCCTGATCCTTCAAGGAACACCCTCGCTCCTCTCGAGAGTCAAAAGATCCAAGACCGCCATGATCCCAACGCAGGACATGGATGTACCCTTCCTATACCTAGTACCTCCTCGTCATCGTCTGTCGTGGCACCAATAGATGTATATCTTCGGTGCGGCGAGAGCCTCGAAGCTAGGTTGATAAGGCTCGATGCGATCCTATCTCAAGGGAGACAGACCTCTGAACCGGAGAACATATCTCTGTCACCGGAAGCTTCAAGCTGGGATATTGTCAACACCCCGCAAAAACTTGAACAAAAGGTTCCAAGCACTCCTGTCCTCCAGCCTATCGAAGGCCCCAAGACTACAGACCATCAACCAACAACGACAGGCCCAGACGTCGAAGTGGGAGACAAGATAGCCGTCGACTCAAAGACTGTGTCTGACCTCCTTCTGTCAGATGCCGCGCAGCCAGCCAGTGACGATACAGAGGAATACAAGGAGGCTTTGATCAAGTATCGAAACTCTGCCAAACGATCTGGGTATGTGCCCTACTGTTCCATTAGTATTGGGCTAACAATGCATAGGCGTAAGGACAGGGCTCGCATTCACAAGGACCCCAAGAAGCGAAGTGGCAAGAAGAGGATAGCCAAGAGCAAGAGTGTATGAAGATGAGATGAGAAGGACTTACCTGTAGGCTTGTTTGTTTGTGCCTAGACTTAATGTAAACAGTTTCTGGATGTATGCCTTGTTTTCTCAAGCTTCTTCTTCTGTGTACTGCGTCGATGTCGTCAACTAAGGAGTTGCAGTAGGTATAACCTCCTTGTCCTTAACAACATCAATAGCAAGAAGAAAAGAAAAGAAGACCAGCATAAGCTAAACACGTTAGTCACCCATCACACAACCCCTCAGTGATACATACCAACATGCTGCATAACCCCAAAAGGTGAAGCTCAAACCCTCCAACCAACGCCTTCCCACCCATCATAGTCCGTTGATGTCTCCAAGTCCGCACAGCACCGAGAAGTATCGTCCCAATCGAGAAGGAATAACAAGTCATCGCCAAAGGCTTCCCCGTGACGAAGTATCCAAATGCCTGATGTTGGCCCTCGTGCTGCAGTGAAAACAGCTGCGCAACCAACGTTCCAACCATTGACATTGCGACTGATGTGCGAAGATAACCCAGAAACGTTCTCTCGTTGGCTATAACCCCACGTCAGTACTGTTACGACCCTCAACTATATCCCCATCAGAAGCCACCCCACGAACCGAACCACACCTGTATGCATTCCCATTTCTCAAGCCCACATCACAAGACCCCTTTCCTCATGCCCGTCAGAGATCTTCCTCCAATCTCCTCTCAGCTTCCCTCGGTGCACATACCTAGATGATCCCTCGACGCCGAAAAGTCAACCTCACAGCTCACATACTCGTGCCAGAACCTCCCCAGCCTCGACCTCTGCTCCTCCTCCTCATTCTGCGGCGCAGCGGCGACATCTCCACGCGCGGAGGTGTTGCTGTTTCGGGGCCTTGCGTTTCCATCCGATGTCTGAGAAGGGCGAAGGGATGGGGGACGAGTAGATAGGTCTTGCAGGGAGTATGATGAGTTTGACCTTGAGCGAAGCATGCTGTGATATGCGCGGGTATAGAACTGGTCTTGTATATGGGATTGAGTTCTTTGATGTTGTGAACTTGGTTTAGTTTAGTTTGCGAGTGTCAATTGTTGTTCAACACGTGCGGATGTCGGCGCGTGTAAGCGGGTGCTTCCGATAGCCTTGGGCGCCGAGCCGGCCCCTCTTAGCCGGAGGACACACGGACGGAGCATGGGGGGATCCATTAGATGAGCCGGAATATCTGAAACATTCCTCAATTGGGAGGTAAACATTTCATGTCACTAATAGACAATTCATTGATTGATATGTAGGCAATTGGTTGTTGTTGAAGACAATACAATACCTTGGTATGGCGCGTAACATTCCAACCAACACCCTCAACGTCAACAAACAAACTACGCACCAACAATCTAGACTCAATGATCTGCTTCCACCTGCATCGGCACTCAACCGGCTCTCGTACATACAACAATACCCCATTCAGCAGCCCGGAATATATCTCCTAAACCCCATCCTCATCATCATCATCCTCTTGTAAGCCAAGGCCCCGATATCCTCCCCAAGTGCCGAAACTTCCACATACGGCAACTGCAACGAAAAAGACACATTTGGCTTCCACTGCATACGCAAAAGTCATAGTTTCGCTTCTTTAAATACCATAACGGAAGGACTTTGCTGGCTTTCCGAGTTCCCCGGCGGTGCGCTCCGACCGACGTTGGGGATAACGGCCCGCAGACCCGGATTTTCCTGATTCGTCCACGGGTGCTAGCTATGTCCCAGGCTGTCGGGTTCGCTTCGCCCATCATCGACATGAGAGTCGTAAGGAGAGAACGTGCCTCTCAGCTGAGATTATAAAGATAAGACGATTCACAACATCGTGTCACTTTGCATAAAACATGTGAACTATCATCACTTGTAATATATTATTCATCGCACCACGTGTTTCTTCTCTCTTTTCTTATCTCTCTCTCCTCCCCGGAAGCACCGGTGTCGTCTTCCGCTCTCACGGTCCGTATATACCGGCATCCGTCTTTCTCATCTCTGAAACACAAACACAAGTTCCCTATTGGGGTTATTTCACCGGCCTGTTCAGCCGGTCCGTCTAAATACAAAGAGGTCAAACCCTGCTGCGGGGCTATCTCTGGCTATCTTACTGCTTATTAGTGAGCGGATGCCTATCTCGACATGCACATTGAATCCTTGTTCCCTGCGATCGCGAGCTTAAGTCAATCGATTGTGCCTTTTCCTTTTGTTGCTTGTCCTGTTCGCCTCATGTTACTTAGCTGCAGATGACCTTATGTGCCGCTCGCGTACGTTGCTTGCAGATGGGATGGTATAAGGGAGGCTGCTATCACGTTTTGGGTTCTCGTTTGATACACACTCTTCTTTTCGTACCTCGGTTCAACTTGCCTGTGCTGTCTTTGTTCAACTTTGTATATCAGACGTGAAGCACGGCGTAGCAAGACGACATCCTTCCTACAGGACGATTTTGGCATTGGTAGTAGCACAATGAACAACTCAAACACCCCTTCTACTCCTGATACGGAGTACTCTCCTCCATGTAGTCCCCAGCAAAAGATTCAGCATCTGAGAGATACTCGCTCTGCAGCAAGAGAGAAGCTGGCAAGGCTGACGCTGGTGGAAAAGGCATGAGTTGTTGGTTTCTTTGACTGGTCATACACTAACCCTTCTAGGTCTCACTCCTCACAGCCGCAGACTTTTGGAGAACGAAAGCTATTCCTGAGAAGGGCATCCCTTCGATCAAGACAACTGATGGTCCCAATGGCGCTCGCGGTGGTATCTTTGTGGGCGGCACCAAGGTCAGTGATGTTCCTCCAACAGCACAAACATAACTGAAACAGGGTATGTAGGCTGCACTGTTCCCCTGTGGCATCTCACTCGCAGCGACATGGAATAAAGATCTCCTCTACCAAGTCGGACAACATCTAGCCCTCGAAGTTCGAGCTCGATCAGCAGAAATGCTTCTCGCTCCAACAGTCTGCATGCACCGTCATCCTCTCGGCGGCCGTAACTTCGAATCTTTCTCCGAAGACCCCCTTCTTACTGGAAAGCTGGCAGCGCAGTACATCAAAGGTCTTCAAGACAGGGGCGTTGCGGCGACTATCAAGCGTAAACACCATCAATGACACAATTTGGTGAGAATGTGCTGACAAGGCTATAGATTTTGTGGGAAATGAGCAAGAGACCAACAGGTTAACGATAGACTCGCTCATCACCGAGCGCCCTCTGCGGGAGATCTACTTGAAACCATTTGAGATTGCTGTTCGGGAGGCTAATCCCTGGGCTGTCATGACTTCGTACAACCTCATCAACGGCGTCCACGCTGATCTGAACAAGCACACATTGAAAGACATCCTCCGAGGAGAGTGGGGATACGAGGGGTAATGAAAATCATCATATATCATGGAATAGCACTGACTTGTCACAGAACCGTGGTTTCCGACTGGGGAGGCATCAACTCATCAATCGAATCGGTGGAAGCAGGATGCGATATCGAATTCCCCTACTCCTCAAAATGGCGTCTAGACAAGCTCGTCACAGCCGTCAATGAGGGTCGCATTTCCATCGAGGACATTAACCAAGCAGCGGAGAACGTACTTACGCTGGTGGAACGACTCAAGGGAGGCGATATGTCACCTGAAGCACCTGAGCGGGAAGATGACCGTGAGGAGACGAGAGAACTCATCCGAACTGCTGGCCATGAAGGTCTCACGCTTCTCAAGAACGACGGTGGCATCCTCCCTCTGTGTCCCAGATCTACCAAGGTCGCTGTTATTGGACCGAACGCCAATCGACATATCGCAGGCGGCGGTGGAAGTGCAAGTTTGAACCCATACTACAACACCATTCCGCTTGACAGCATTCGCAAGGTCTCCAAGCAGAAAGTCTCGTTCGCTCAAGGCTGCCATATCCACAAGTGGCTCCCCGTTGCATCGGAGTACTGCACAGAACAGACGGGCAAACCAGGCGTGCACATCGATTGGTATGCGGGCGACAAGTTTGAGGGCAACCCAGTAGTGAAGCAACGCCGAACGAACACAGATCTCTTCCTTTGGGACTCAGCGCCCCTGAGCGAAGTCGGTCCTGAATGGTCTGCCGTGGCAACAACGTTCCTCATGCCGAGGACAACAGGCAAACACACCATCAGCTTCATGAGCGTTGGACCCGGAAAGCTCTTCATCAATGACAAGTTGGTTCTCGATCTGTGGGATTGGACCGAGGAGGGCGAGGCGATGTTTGACGGCTCAATCGATTATCTGGTCGATGTTGACATGGAAGCCGACAAAGCTGTTGAGCTGCGCGTGGAGATGACGAATGAACTTCGTCCCATTTCGAAACAGAAGCAGTTCGGCATCACGCATAAATACGGCGGTTGTCGCATCGGATATAAGGAGCAGGATCAGGTGGATTATATCCAGCAAGCGGTTCAGACGGCTCGCGACGCGGATGTCGCTGTCGTTGTTGTTGGAGTCGATGCAGAGTGGGAGTCGGAAGGGTACGATCGTCAGACAATGGATCTTCCTGCGGATGGAAACCAGGACAGGCTTATCGAAGCTGTTGTCAAAGCTAACCCCAAGACCGTTGTCGTGAACCAATCTGGTAGCCCAGTGCATATGCCATGGGTCGATCGAGTGCCTGTAATTCTTCAGGGATGGTATCAAGGACAAGAAGCCGGCAATGCCCTGGCGGATGTCCTCTTCGGCATTGAGAACCCAAGTGGCAAGCTCCCAGTAAGTGATCTTCGCCCATCGTGTATTCCTCGCTGACACCAAACAGAGCACGTTCCCCAAGCGCATCGAGCATACCCCAGCATGGCATACCTGGCCCGGCGAGAACCACAAAGTGCTGTACGGCGAAGGACTCTACATCGGATATCGACACTACGATCACGCCAGGATCGAACCTCTCTTCCCCTTTGGCCATGGCCTCTCCTACACAACCTTCGAGTACGGCCGTCCCGAGATCTCAACAAAGACCCTCACCCCCGATGGCGAAATCAAGATCACCCTCGCCATCTCCAACATCGGAACTCGCGCCGGTGCAGAAATCGTGCAGCTCTACGTCCACGACGAAAAGAGTCGCTTGCCACGACCTGAAAAGGAACTTGTCGCGTTTGAGAAGGTGTTCCTTGAAGCAGAAGAGACGAGACATATCACAATCAAGTTGGACAAGTACGCTGTTGGGTATTATGATGAGACTGTTCCTGGATGGATCGCTGAGGAGGGCGCTTTCAAGGTGCTGATTGGAGCGTCGAGTACAGATATCAGGTAAGTTTCCTCTGCGCAGGTGAGGATGACCGCTAAATCGTGTAGACAATCGACGAGGTTCAATGTGAAGGAGTCGTTTACATGGATTTTCTAAAGGGAAACGTGGGAGGGTGGTTCGTAAGGAATCCGACGATGGGAGAGCACCAAGATAGTATCAGCTGTGCTTCCAGTTTCGGCGCGTCGAGATACCGGGCAGAATTTTAAGACATCGTCGCTTATTTGTGAAGCTTCTGTTGTCCGAGCGTGAAATGTCCCTAAGCCAGCATCAGATAACTGTCCGGACGTTCCCTACCAAGTCACAAGAATCGTTGAAGAAGTTGTATTTGAATGTCACATCGAGCATGGGTTAATGAGGTGCTGGCTTTCGTTCAAAGGCGCCATTGAATCCCTTAACAAGTCCAAAGTCAAGGGTCGTGACCTAGTGTTATTCTCATTCTGTTCTTGCATACGTGTCAGGATATGATCCCCAGCGAAATGGGGAAATGGACATACCTCATGTATCAAAATTACACTGCCAACGTGCTCTGGCCACGCACGTCGGCGATCGCGCCTATATCAAGTCTTCGCGTTTTCTCATCCAGTCCTATCGTCCATCCCAAATTTTCGACCTCGTCTTTCTCAATCGCGCTCCTCACGATCCTTGCCCTCGGGGCTACGACTCCTGCTTCGTCCTCTGTTGCGCCCACCAGCGCCTCGTCCACGCCCAGGCTTACCAGGCGGAGGGCGCACGAACGCAAAGTCTACCGAGATCGTCTGGTCGAGCAACTTCTGGTTATGCGCACCATCAATAGCAGCGCGAGCCTCCTCCAGCGTCGTGTACTCAATAAGCGCGTATCCCTAAGCAGACCACTGTATCAGCAATCCATCCCCGTGTTGAATGCGTTTTCGCGCTTACCTTGACGTAACCGCTTCTTCGGTCGAGGTTCAGGTGCATGTTCTTGATCTCTCCGTACTCTCCGAAGAGATCTTGTAGGGCTTCCTCGTCTGCTTCTTCGTGGACGTTTGTTACGACGATGATCCAGCCTTCGATGGAGCGGACGGCTGTGGCTTTGGTGTGTGTTTGCATGTCGGATTCGTTTCGCGCGGGGGGAGGGGGAGAGCCCGCCTCCACGTCAACGTCAACGTCCATTTCCACGTCGGCCATTTTGTCGGAAGGTGGTCTAGGGGGGAAATTGGTATATAGCGAGGAGCGTGCTGTTGTTTGTTTGTTTGAGTAACGGAAGCTAACTTACCTGCCAGAATGCAGAGTTCAAGGTGGAATTGATATCACGTGATACGAGCAATGATACCGAAAGCTTTCATGTTCGAATCATCAATTCATCTATTGGAGGTCATGGTCTCGAGCTTATCAGTAGCTTTGGGAATAAGAACGGCCAAATTTGAGGTGTTCTACGTAGATCATGGTGATTGGCATTTCCATCAAATTTGGCATTCACCATCCTCAGGCACGAATAAGTCGAAGATGTCATCCATCAGCATGAGTCACTCGCCAAGAACTCCAAAGAATTTGCAGCGTCTACGATACCCCCCAGATTCGCCTGTTTGGCCCAGTCGCCCATTCATCAGAAAATGCTTGCATTCACAGTTGCAGCAGAAATGCCTTGCGCGAACAAATGTTTGTTGTATTGTGACAACTGACACCGGACGCCGAGTAGAGTCGTAGTGCTTCTTCGCCATTTCCTTTTTATTCTTTTTCGTAAGGGGGCTCAGCCTATCTTGCGACCCTGACCCAATCCATCACATCATCCCATTACTGAGTGAAGCCAACCATTGCTGTGTTGAACCGTGTCCGAAAGCCAACATTTCCCGATACCGCAAATTCCTGTCGATTTTGACGAGTCGTTTATGAGCCGGGGTTGGGGTTCATCTACATCCGAATCGTCAGCGCCTGTACCTGTGTGATGTGATTCTCCTGCTCCGAGTCTGCTCACCTTTCTCTTGCCACCAGTGAGGGTAACGTTGACAAAGCGACGGGTGTACTTGAGGCGCTTGAGAGCACGACCCTTAGGGGTCTTGGTCTTCTCCTGCTTCTCAACCTGTAGGAATCGCGATGGTTAGTGATCGAGTTTCGTCGGATTTTTCGATGTCGGGGAGCCGTTGTCGTACCTTAGGAGTCTGAGACTTGACCTTGCCTGCGAGAATGTTAGCGACGACGAAAAAGAGACGAATGTCCTGAGGACGGGCGCAACGTACCGGCACGGGCAAGAGATCCGTGAACTTTACCCATGATGAATGATGTGCTTGGTGGTGATGTGGATGGTAGAGTCGAACGGCTGGCTGAAAGCGCGGTAAGATTTTTGGGTCAATTTGGCAAGTGTGTGGGCGGGAAGGAGCTTCCCTCACGTGAGCGGGGATAAGATGCCCTCGGAATAACTGGGTCCGAGTGGCGGATCAGAAGGCTTATGTAATGCAACTGATGGGATTCGTCCGTAGGGGAGCGATAGGCCTACAATAGCCATGAAGGAGCCTGAAATATTACTGTTTGCTTCTGATGACGTTTAATTGATCTCAGCGATTTGCTTGGAGTGAATTTTCGTCAAATCAGTGTCTCTGTCGCGCTTTGGGGGATGCCGTGTGACGTCATTGAGCAATCTAGGCAATGAAGCTGCGGGCGGTTTGAGTTCAACAGCTCTTAACGATATGGCGAAAATGCCAATTTCGTTGTAATGCCAGACCCCCTCTCACAATACCGAATACTGTTGTTTCATCGACTAGCACAGCAGTTATGGATTGATGTAAAGGTTACATCGTGTTATTCGGGCACGCAGGTACAAGATGTTATGTGGCTCGGCATCGTGTTAGTGGCCATTCTGCTGTTCAGTGAACATTTTGGGCGTAATAAGGGCTTACATCTGCTTCTTGGCTGCAATATTGAGGTTCGAGTCGCCTTGGACAGTGCTCGAGCAATCATGGTCTCTGGTCTCTGGTGTAAATCTACATCCATGGGATACAAGACATGCTATTCCTGTCGACCAGGGACTGATTTTGAAGTTTAAGCAACTATTCGACGGAGTTGAGTTGTACTACATGTATCATGCAAGTATTATGCCCAGCTACATACTCCGCTGACTTCGAAACTCCAAGAATCAAAAACAAAGGGAACTTAACATCGGCCATGAGCTTCTGAATGATTTCAATGCCCGTGGGAGTGGTGCAACGACTGATTATCGTCGTCCCTTGACCTCGGCGTAGGGTAACCCTCACGTCAAAACCGCTCCACCAACTTGACCCCACTGTCTTGTCCTCCATCCTCAAAGCAAATACGGACATCTATTAAAATCTCAATCAAGAAAATCTTGACTTACATATCTAATTTGGGCGCTTCAAGCATGGTCCATCTATAATGTCTTGCATCGCGTTGGCCGTCGACAAAAAGCACAAGAGTGGATGTTTTTGCTATATTTACACAAAGCCCCAGATTCTTTGGGGATACGAGAATACGAGAGGGACATGAGGCCACGGCCACCGAGACCTGAACTAGACGGAAATCTTTCCAGAAAGGAACTGGACCTTGTCAGTGTTTGAGATGGATCGTATTCTTCCGAAGACCACTCGGGTAGCTGATCGATGGCGAGCTGTATTGTTGAGGCTTGCAATTGACTCAAATCCTTCTGGACGCTGGGTGGTTGGAATTGAACTAACAATCTTATGCTGTAGAGAGTTCAAGGGAGCGGAAGCCATGAGTTAGAATACAGCATCTGAGACTGTGATCCAACGTTGCCTCAATCGTATCAGGTCAAGCTCGTCGTTGGGCTATATCCGTTCCACCGTCGAGTCAAACCTTCCAGCCTCAGATGCACGGCCCCAACCGTCCCGATCTATTACACAGAAACTCTAGGCGATGAGAAACAAGACACTGGTCGGCAGATCACATCATCGCGCAGCTAAAGTCTGTTGGTTAGCCTCTTAGCCTCTACGATACTTTAGCTATCTCTGATAGCGGGGTGGTTGGATCATGTCATGAGTCCTCTAATTGCTTCTCATCACCATCTGTTTAATTGACAGAAGGCTGGGATGGGTAGTTACACCATTTGGCTTAAAGAATCAGGGGAGCAATTAGGGAGAACAGGCCTGCCACGTTGTGCTACACACGATACTGAGTTTTATCGTTATCATCCAGCCTCCCTCGCGCATAAGCGGTTCAAGTTTACCAGCCAGCCCCCCCTCCCAGCTCGCTCTACCCGCACGCTTCCTCCCGAAAGCAAAGTAGAAGTGACCTAAACGAGCTTCCATGCAGAACGGCTAAACCCCAGAATGTCAATCGCCTCTGTCGATGAGTTCGTATCCTTCCATACTGAGACAAAAAAGTTTCTATTCGTGTACGGTAATTGCCTATGGTTCCATTTGATCGCGCTGCTATTTTTGGTGATCCCTGTCAAGTCTAAAAAAGGATTCGCTCGCTCTGTAAGGCCACAGCGTGGATCACTCCCGCAGATGCCGAACCAATGACCCCGCGATTTGGGCCATGACACTTCAGCCACCCACGCACGTCTCTACGGTAGTGCCCACCTCGTCAGTTCGTATTCTAAACCCACTGCTTTGATTCTTACGAGCATCTTGCAGCTGAGGGTTTGGGTCTAGCTGAGCAGACAATGAGTGAGGGGAAGAATTGGGATGCATCAATGGTGATATCGAGGGACGGTTCAGATAGAATAGCCAGTGACAATTGAGAGTCATGATGGATGAAGACATTATTGGGTTGTCTTGCAGTGGTTTACCCCAGTCGGGCTCTCAATGGACCATGTCGGATACTCCAGAAATCGATGCCGCCATCCCGCAATGACAATCGCATCACGCACACAAACAGGCCTGATAGTTGCGATATCATGATCCATGGCCCAGACCGTCCCGCTACTCAGCTGGTTTAGGACTGACCATCTGCAGCTAGTCAAAGCTACTGTAAGCCCAGAAAAAGAACTAACTACCAGCCTGCAGCTTGGATATCGGCATCTTCTTGCTTGCTTGATTCTAAGCTTGTTTGGATTGGATTGATTGCCTGACACTGCTTGGCCGGGGCCACTCCAGATACAAACTGAGCTCAACAGAGCGGAATTGTCTGGAATTTTCTATTTCCACTGACTCTTCTTCCAACACTTAATCTCCCTTGCCCGTCTTCACATCTATCCCTGTTTCTCCCCTTCTAATCTATCTCTTACATATCCATGTAAATATGGGTGCATGTTGTTGAGCCCAACCAACGTTGCATCACTCCCGTACCTTACCAACACTTCCGCTTTTTGTGTCACCATATTACAGAGCAATCCCCTCTCACCCAGCCCGCCCTCTTTTATTTCCCGCTTGTACAACAGGAAGAAGAAGAAGAAAAAAGTCGGGGGTGATTACTAGCTCGTCTCATCTCGTCTTGCGTCAATCCCACCACATCACGAGATACCCGCATCTTTTGCCCACCGCCTTTGCAACGAACGACTCACGACCGCATCCGTTGCAATTTCTCACTCAAAATCTCCCGCATTCGTTGGGGTTTTCTCAAATTGTCCAGAAGGAAAAGAAGGAGAAAAAAAGACGAATTGGAATGACAAGATTCTAAGCAATTTACCAATAAAACACCAAGCGAGACATCATCACCCGCTTTTGACCTTAGCTCCCGATTGCATCTTGCTCCGAACGCAGCAATTTCTGGGCGCATTCGGTCAGATTCACACAAACGCAAACACCCGCGCAAAAGAAGCAGAGAAACTGTTCTCAGATTTATTATTACTGCGCTTACCTGCAGCAATCGTCCTCACCCCACCTTGTCCAACCCAACTCACGCGCAATTTCTCCCGACATTTCTTGTCTCACAGAACCTCGCAGCACTCCCCCGCCCAATTCAGGTCAATGCTTCTCTTGAGCGTGTAAAAAAAAAAACCCAATTCAAAAAGCAGAAAGGCTTTCATCATGCTCCTCGCTGCTCAACCGCCCCAAGGGCGCTCTCGCTCAGATAGCTTACAGCAAATGCTCGATCTGGAGAAGAAGCTGAATGTAAGCACAGAAACAAGCGGAATGCTGGAGGGTTTGGCTGACGTACTCGCACAGTTTCAGCGAACACATCAAGGCTCTGTGCCTCCATCTCCGGCATGCACTGATAGCAGTGGCTCAGTACCACCCAGCCCAGGCCACCCTCGTCGTTTTGAGCTGGTGCCC